ATGTTGAAAAGACGTCATTTCTCTGTCGATTCGCGGTGAAGGTGGGTTTGGACGACTGCCAGCCCGAATGAGGCGAGGCCGGAAGAGCATCCGGTCAACGATAGCCGCAGCTTGAATGCGACTACTTCTGGCTTGTGTTGCTTTTGCAGCACAAATGCAAATGCTCTCTTCTTATCTTCCACCTCGTTCCCGTCGACCTTGTCGACGGGTCGTCAGTCCACTTATGTTCCTTGAACACCGCCCTAAACGGCTTTATCTCCTCCCCGTCGACCCTTCGTCCCTTCCAGCCACGACGCTTCTGTCCGCCCAGTTCAACTTGTCCGAAGAGTTCCAACCCGGCGGCTTCTGGACCGATTTGCCCAACACCAAGACCAACCAATCGGAGCAGGACGTCTGGCAGACGAACACGACAATGGGCGACAACGGGACTGGAGTTGCGTCGCCATGGATGCTACAGAACGCGGAAGGCACCAAGACGCCGGACACCCTCGACAATGTCACCTTCTTCGGCTCCCCTTTCACGCCGTTCAACTCGACTCCGTTGGTGGAAGATGGCGTGGCCGAGACGAGCGCCGGGCAGACCATCGTCTACTCTCCTCAGACAGTCGAGCTGGCCCAAACGGTTCTGTACGAGAACTCCACCTTCATCAGAGCCATCATTCAGCCCAAGAGCCTTCTGCTAGACGCCATGAGGACCAATGAAAGTCTGCAGTTGACTCCGGAAGGCGGCGACTCAACGCAGGGACCCATGGAGGAATAGCCTTGGGCGGACAGAGTTCATTCGAAATCGAGCAGTTTTTTATGTCGACCAATACCGGCTGTAATTAGCATTAAATACTGACTTTTAAAAATATGTATTTTACGCTCAACTTGAAATATTCAGCATTCTATGTCTTCTATTTGAGAGCGAATCTGGTCACAATGATTTGACCAAAACGCCTACATTTTCTGCACCCGAAAAGGCCATATTGACCTAAAATTGTTACTCAAGACTTGATGATAGGTTGACAAACTACTCACACCGCAAATAAGTAAGCAGACCGTTTAAAATGACCAATTCACTTTAGGTTCATTATCGAAATCACTATAAATTTGGCATTAAATTGTCTTTTTAATGGCCATCTAGTGAATAAAATTGGCATGTGCCAATAAAATTGATTATATTACTGTATTCAATTTGAGTAGTCATCAAAACGGATGGAATAACTTGAAAAGGTATCCGATTATAAATGATGAAAATGCTGTTATTTGAGACGTCTAGAATTCAATATTCCAGTTTCGTTCACTCCGCTTTGCACAGAAATTGCGACTCACATTTATCGTATGGGCATAATATACTAGACGGGACCCGGTTACCCGGATAAACGATTATTTGAGACAAAACAAGGGATTAGACAACTCTTTCGGCCACGTTGCTAATGTATATATCCTGCAACCTTACAAAAAAGATAGGCGAAAAACTGAGGAAATGGATCTTTAAAACAATGCATAAAGAAGCATTAATGCTTTTCTTGATCAGGCCTTCTTTTAGAGATTTTTCAGACGTCCTCTACAGATCAGCCTGCAATAAAGTTTTATGCTGAAGTGGTAGTTTTTATGTGGGGGAGATTTGTCAGTCCATACATAAGAGGCTACAGAACGAAGAAACATCTACAAAGGTGTATGGATTCAGAAATCGGAGGTGACTGAACCTGTGATCGCTAAAGGATACCAGATAGCGTTGACTAAATCTCAATGTTTTGCCGTCTATGGAGACTTTACAGCCTAAGCGGAAGTGAGTCGATTGAAATTAAAAGAAAAAAATTTTCTGAAGAAGACAAACAATTGTAGGAAACTATGTAACAACTATCTCTGGCTGCTAAATGGAATTAGAGAGAAAGAGATAGAGAAGTTAAAGCAACGGGAGGAGCCATTGGGTCAGAGGAGAAGAATTGACTAAGCTGGAGTCTGTTTGGGACCTAAAATTTCCAACCAACTATTGGTTGTAACACACATACACGAACACGCATCTACAAAGCTGTAACAAGACCCAACATTGCATGATCATACGATAGTTTGTTTTCACACACACACACACAAGTTGTGAGCATCACTTTGAGCCGCTTACATGCAAGCAAGACAAGCGTAAAACAGCCAACCAACTCATGAAATGCCTCATTAAGATCGCAAAGTGAAGTAAACTAAGTGAGTTGGATCTGAACTGGCTACTTTTTTGGTTTAGGTTTTTTGGTGATTGTTTGTGAATAATGGTTTGTGGCTCTGACGATGTCCGTCACATGACGGACGAAAGCTGGGGTCTTTTGCGCACAATTCAACAGACAAAAGTCCAAGACAACCCTCCTGCGGTATCCGGTGAGGCCAATTTACCAATCCTTTCCACCCGTCTTGTCGGACGAAACAAAAGGTATGCCGCTATCATAAATGGATAAAAGTTGGGTTTCGAAGAATCTCTTGTTTCATATTTCGTTTGGCCTACTTCCATTTCGAGTGAAAGTGTTGGGCCAAGAGAT